AGTGAAATGTTTTAAATCCTAGTTGAAGGTAACCTAAAGAAGAGTGAGGATCTTTGTTTCCTATTCATTTTTTTGGAGACAGAGTCTTGCTGTGTTGTCAGGCACCAGGCTGGAGTGCAGTGGCACGATCCCGGCTCACTGCAACCTCCGCCTCCTGGGTTCAAGCAATTCTCCTGCCTCAGCCTCCGGAGTAGCTGGGACTACAGGCACATGCCACCATGCCCAGCTAGTTTTTGTATTTTTAGTAGAGACGGGGTTTCACCATGTTGGCTAGGATAGTCTCGATCTCTTGACCTTGTGATCCACCCGCCTTGGCCTCCCAAAGTGCTGGGATTACAGGCGTGAGCCACTGTGCCCAGCCACATTTCTTTATTCTTTAACAAACAGTAAGTGCTCAAATAGAATTTGAATTAGAATGTCTACTTAGCTAATAAAGTAATTAGCTTTATTACTACTTAGTAATAAAGGAAGTCTTAAATAGTGGCAAAAATAGGGGTGGGCAAAAATAAAAGGAATCAAAATCGTGGTGCCTCTGGTTTTAGCACTTTGAAGTCAAACTCAGGACAAATATATCATTTGACCTACTCATGTCTAATATTTGTAAACAATGGTAACTGTATTTTTTTGAAGTTTATTATATGGAATAAAACATGCAGATTTACTTCCTAACCACATTTTCAGGTTTCAATCTTCTTGAATACAGTATAACAAGTAAAAAGTGAAACATAAAAGAGAGAAAAGGAGGGGATGACATTCAGGATTCAGTCTGAATGCCACATTCTACAGAGGCCTTTCCCAGACCATCCAATCTCTTGTGGCTTCTATGGTCTCTACTGCCTTAGTCTGTTCTTTTTCATTATATGATTTATCATTTTTTAATATCTCCTTGTTTATTGCCTAGCTCTCATCTGTAGAATATAAGCTCCATGAGAATAGGCTGGTTCACCTATGAGTCTTCAGGGTCTAAGATGCTTGGCATGCAGGAAGTGTCTACTAAAGATCTGCCGAATGAATAACAGCTACCATTTAGGGAGCTCCTAGCATAGGCCTGATATTGTGCTAAATCCTTTCTATGTGGCATCTATTTAATCCTCATAATCTCCTATCTCCACTTTACAGATAAGGAAATGAGGATTAGAGATATTCAGCAACAGTAACTGTGTCCCGGATAACCAGGTAATAAAGGAAGGAGCTAGGATTTGGTCAGAATGGTTTGCCTCTAGACTACAGCCTGGACTCCTATCCACTATGTTTAAGCCACATCATCAATTACAGTCTACAGTGTGAATATGTATATAAATCATTTTAATCAGCAATTCACAGATCCTGCTTCTTGGCCTACTTTTCTAGTGACAATAATAATACTAGCTTGACAGGGCTTTGTAAGACGGGGCAGGGAGAAGCCCTCACACTCTCCAATCTCCTAAGACGGAAAGCCTGCGAAGGAGAGACTAGTAGGACAGCGGTGCAAAGAGCAAGGCAGAAAGCAGAGGGGAACAGGGAATGAGGCCTAGAGTCTTTCTATGAGAAGGAAGGGAGAACAAGATGAGCTATTCTGTTTCAGAAGAGCTTTGTCCCCATCCACCCCTAGGCAACCTACTTGGTCGAGCAAAGCAAGTGTATGGGCAGCGAGCCTAGAATCAGGAAGCTGGATTTAAAACATCTTCGTCTTTAATTTAGGAGATACTCAGACGGCTAGAACTCTGTGTCTTCTGTGAAGAGATGGGGAGCCCTTGTCTACCACAGCAATGCAGCTTCAGAGTAGACAGGCCAGCAGCCCCCACCCCATCTGTCCTCTCACTAGGAGAAAGCTCTTCATGCCTAATTAAAAAGATAAATAGACCTTATTTGTATCCTTCCCAAAATAAAATAGAAAAATGCAATTTGGAATTTCTTTCTTTTTTTAAAGATGAAGTCTCACTCTTGTTACTGAGGCTGGAGTGCAGTGGGGCAATTTTGGCTCACTATAATCTCCTCCTCCAGGATTCATGCAATTCTCCTGCCTCATCCTCCTGAGTAGCTGGGATTACAGGCACACACAAACACCAGGCTAATTTTTGTATTTTTGGTAGAGATGGGATTTCACCATATTGGTCAGTCTAGTCTCGAACTCCTGACCTCAGGTGATCTGCCTGCCTCAGCCTCCCAAAGTGCTGGGATTACAGGGGTAAGCCACCATGCCTGGCTTGCAATTTGAATTTCAAAATTTATTATATAACTTAGGGTATCTTACTATTTAAAAAAACTTGTGAATATTTGGCTTATAAAGCAAAGCATTTTTTTTTTTTTTTTTTTTTTTGGTAAAGTGAATGTATATCAGCTCAACTTATTTTCTGTATAAATGCAGATTTTCATAGGCTGAATGCTTTAAAGAGAGACATATTGTACTAAAAACATTAAGTACTCACAAAAATTGGGAACTTAGGCTTGTCTGCTCTATGTAAAGATTTCAAAGCAATTTAAAATGTGTATTTGTTATAGCAACCATATACATAATCATAACATTTTACTTCACAATCTTTAAAGTTCTAGCATGGGTTTCTAATGAATTTATGAAACTAATTTCCTAGCACTTGACAATTTGCATACTCAAGGGTTACTGTTTTTAAAATGTCTGGGCAGCAAGAATGTTTCCAACCTACATGAGGACACGCCATGCCTGCGGGCTTGCCAACTGAGGTGTACCCTGGACCAGCAGCATGAGCCCTACCTCCTTAGAAATGTGGATTCTCCAGATCCAGCTCAGCTCTCCTAAATCAGAATCCATGTTTAACAACAGCCCCCAAGTGATGGTAGCACAGTAAAGGCCAGAAGCGCCGTAACTAGAGTTGGTAGAGCATTCTTGACTCTCAGGTACCTTTAGAATTGGAAGACTTGAAGATGAGTGCCCTGGTCAGGCCAGTGCAGGGTAAGTGAGGTCCTTACCTCTAGCATGTTGTAGATGATGTAGAGCTTGATGACAGACTGCCCCCTTATCAGGTGGTACATCATGGAGTAGTCAACATAGTGCATCATAAAATAGCAGATTACCAAAATGACACCCTTCAAAATGTCACACACCTGGGCAGGCTGAAGCAAACGCCTGTCCCTGAAACATACAAGAAGTAATAAAAGTATAAGTTTTACTTTGTATGTTCTCACAAAAACCAATAATCTTTATTGGATATACACTGGCATACAAAGGTAAAAATGAGAATTATGTTGATATTTAAAAAACTTCAAACAAGGGAAGTTAAACTAAATAACTACTCAACAATGTAAACTTTTCTGTCCAAGTACAGAATATAAAGATTTTAAGTGAGAATTACTATTAGAAGTTGGCAATCTTAACAAATGAACATGGAGGGCAGATATCTACCAATAGGGTACTTTTGAGCAACAGATTTCCACTGTTACGGCAGAAGCCTTTAACCTAATCATTAATCCCTGCATGTAGCCTGCTGGATCAACCCCTTTCACACAATGTTACATTCTATGCATACTGCTCTGCAGCTTGTACTTTATTTAACAGCATAATATTCCATATAAGTTTATCAGGAGCTTCCTTTTTATGAGCAGTGTTCCACTATGTGGATGAACCACAGTTTATTTAACGTACCTCTAACAGATTTCTAGTCTTTTGCAATTATAAGCCATAACACAATATACATGCCATGTCTCACATATGAAAGTATATCTGTAGGACAAACCCTGAAATTGGAATTTCAAGGTTATATTCATTTGAAATTTTGATAGAAACAGCTGAGCTGCCCTCTGCACAGGGTACAGTTTATAACTCAACTAGCAATGTCATGACAAAGCCTGTAGCCCAGGGCATTGATACAGTGTTTGATCAACTTTTGGATCTTTGCCAGTCTCATTGGTGAAAAATGGTACACAGTGTAGATTCAACATTAATTTCTATCATTAGGAAACTAAACATCTTTCCACATATTTAACAGTTATTTACATTTCAGGTGAACACACCCTTCCTATCTTTTTTGCACTGGTTTATAGGACAGTTTTTGTATTACACGTTAGTCCCCTGTGACTTCAGTTGAAATATTTTTTTTCATAACTAATATGAGCAGAAGAATCACCCCTTACTTCTGAGGTTAGAGTATAAGGAGCTAAACCTATATTGTGAAAGGAACCATCTTAACAAGATAGTGCAAAAAATACATAAGAAAAAAAGAAATTTAAGATTTAAAATTCATGTGACAAGAATGGGAAAGATATGTTCTCTCTGCCTGTCATAGGCTGATTCCTCAGGACAGAAAATGCTGTCTCTTGTTTTGGCAGCTTTTACGCATAGTGCAATCTATACAACAGCCTGAGTATTTTCTTTAGGAGCTGTAGAATCTCTTCACTTCTACCAGTTGTGACAATGTTCTAAGTAACAATACCGGGGTGGGCTCATTTTCTAATTGGCCACTGGCCGTCTGAGCCCCCTATGTATTTGATATTCCTTGGCTACATATTCTCCAGAGTTCTTTCCTAATGCATTTCCTCCAGTGATCTTTGCAGAGTTTAACAAGGAATTTGTAAGTCTTCCAAACTGTGACCTGAGACATTACTTTATAAGGTCACAATGATGCCATACCAATTCTGTGAGCAGTTGTTACAGAACCTCATTCTTGTTTTCTACAATGTGCACTGTACGGTGTTTTCAGCTAGATATGAATTTGGCTGATCTGTTTACAGACAGAATCTAAGATATTGCAGAAGTTCTGAAAACAGGCAAATTCTGTGAAGACTGTTGAGAGAGGGCTAAAGGTGGCTGGAAATATATTGGACTAGACCAATGAGCCTAAATGAGAGGGAGGTCAGGATTTGTCTAAGTCTGATCACACGACTTTAGGTGGGCATGAAAAGACAAGTAAAATTATTCTTAGCAGTTGAAGTTAGGGCTTTGGGAAAAATTGCATCAAGGACAAAGTTCATCGATCTCTATCATTATTTCTCTTTTACCATGACTTTCTTTTATCCAGTGCTGTTCCTCTCTCTCCCACAGGAGAGACCTTTTTCTCCCCAGAGAAGAAAGAATACCCTTCATCTGCTAACTCCCAACCAACCAGCCTACAGCACAGGTCTCTGCAAAGGGCTACTTGAATATCAAGGTAATTTCCTGCCCCCATTTCTATAAGACTGAAGATGGAAGACCTATTATATCTGCCAGGAATTGGATCTTGGTCACTAAAACGTATTTCTCATTCAAACACTGAGAAGAGGAGATATTTTGAACACTTCTGAGCTCCTGGCCTTGGTGTGACTATCTCTACTTGGGTGGCAGGAAACAACTGGTGAGCCATGAGCCACCAGCCCCCACTCAGAAGTGTGGCACAGCTCAGCATATAATCAAAGTCACACATCACCAATCATCATGAGCTTTTGTGTTTAAAAACTGTACGTTATGTTTATGAATTAAATAAAATGATAGGAACTAAAAGTAGGGTGGTATTAATTTATATTAATAACCAAAATTAATTTTGATAACTAATTAAAATAGAAAACTATATTTAGAACTTTTGGTACTAGATGGCATCTATTTAGTTGAGTGATCTCAGTCAACACAATTTTATTTAAGAAACAAAGGCTTTTACGTATATATCCAAATGTGTTTCTTTACATACATATTTCAAACCAAAGAACAAATGTGTTAGTATGTCAACGAATGAATAGTATATTTAGTACAAGCCATAGTTAGAAATTAGATCTCTCAAACATTAGAAAGTCATATCCCAAAATAATATAATACAACAATTTTTGAACCAAGCTGATAAGTTAACAAAGAAAAGTTGTATAAACACCTAATGCTACAATTCAGTTACTATGTGGCAGTTCTAGACACTCCACAAATATTCCTTTTAGTGTTCACAATAATGCCATTTGATCAACTCAGTTTTACAAATGAGCCAAGGGACAGTCAAGAACATGCCTGTGGTTGTACAGACTAAGTCCCCACATGGTGCAGCAGGGATGGAAACCTGGCAATCTGGCTCCAGAAGGCATGCTCTTCAGAATCATCTGCATTCTAGACTTTTTAAAACAGAACTTCTAAACTTACAGGAATCAACATCTCAGAACCTATTATCTTTCCATAAAATTTAATACTGCATAATTTATCACTGTACTGTGATCTCTTCTGAAAAAAATGCTTCATGAAAAAACAAACGTATCTATCATTTGGTCTTTATTTCTAAATATGAATGCAAAACACACACACACACACACACACACACACACACACACACACACACACAAACCCCTCCCCAAAACCAGACTATATATGCATATGATATACACATATTGAATTCACTGCTTTCTGTGCACCTCCTGCTCTGGTGAAAATGTTCCATTGCTAACATCATATTTGGTTGTTGCAGGGATGACTGTGATTTTCAAAACTAAGGAATATTATTCAAATAAATAATACAAGCAGCAGAATCTTTAAAAAACAAGGTCTTGTTTTCATATAAATGTCCTTGTTAATAAAAAGAAAAACTGCCAAAGAAAAAATTGTTTCTAAGGTGGCATCTTAAAAGACAGCTGCATGTGTACCACAGCCTCTTACCAAGAGAAGACCTAACCTCATAAATAAGTTTACCTGGTTAAAACAACTTGAACCAATCAGCGTATTTGTTCCTCCCCTGCCAGGATATTTTTAGATGACCATCTGATTATCACTTCAACCTACCTAAGAAGCTTATCCAAGGTCCTGCCATTCAACCCTGAATTGGCTTTTGAAAAATATTTTCATGCTAAAGTTCTTATAAATGGCTAAGTGGTGGTTACTGGCAATTCATCTTGCAAATGATGAAAATCCCACATGAAAGCTTAAACAAGCAAAACATACTGTTGGGCAAAGTGAAAAACCCACTAACCTAATTTGCAGGTTTGGTTGTATGTTATCACACAAGTCATATTACACCAAATATTTAACAGAACTTAAACATTTTTCAAAATAATACATTTAACAGAATTATTTTAAAATTTTCTAGGAAAACCACCCTTAGAGAAACCAAATTCTCTACATCTCTAAATTTTATTTTTTATTCATACAAATATTTCCATTTCCATTGTATTTTTAGCAACTGTACAATTTTATATTGTACAATTTAACAATTAGAGTATCTCTAGTTGTTTTGAAGGGCTCACAGGTTTATAGAAACTGAATTATATAGTATAGAAAGACGATCAAGGGTGAGCTTTTTCTCCTACTCTTTAGTGGAAGATAATATGCTAACTATGGCTAACGTAAAATCTGGTAGTGGACAGAAAGATCAAGAAGGAAGACAAGGCACCAAAAATGAGCAAGAAAAATGGGAAAATCCCTGCATAGTTACTTCAAATCAGTGTTGAAACATGCCAGAGTATTAGCATGAGTCATTTCATTGCAAAATACATAGACTAGATCTCTCATTCTCTCACTCAATATTTTCAGCCATTTGTGGTATAACTGAAAGAGTGAAGAAACACAAGCACTGATGAAATAAAAATGTAAAATACTTACTACGGTTTTATTTTTGAAAGTGAGGTCCTTTTATAATTTTAAAGTAAACTGGAATAAAGTAGTGAAATCAAGATGTTTTCCTGAATTAGAAAATTAAGTATTTTCGATCTTAAGTTTGACTGACATGTAACAAAAAATAAATACCTAACATAAACAGAATGATTAAAACTATTTCTTAAACTTTAATTTCAAACTATACTAGAAAATAAATGTTTTTTGTTTATTATTTGTAGTAAAGGAAAATAAAACCTGCTTATATGGAAGGAATTAAGCTCAGCCAATTTCTGTGGCATTGGGGATGAGGTATTTGCTAAGTCTAAGTTAACATGGGTAAAGATCATTTTTGAGCGGATTTTCATGTTAGGTGAAATCGCAGTCAAATCCTTCACAAAGAAATGTGGACAAAGCTTTAAGATCAAGTAAAGATGCTATTTTAAAAAGGATAAGGCTCCACATTTTCTTCAATATGTTTCTATCCCCTAATGGCTATGTCTGCCTATCCTGTTTACTTTTGCATTTAATTAATGTCAATTTGGCCAAGAGTATAGAAGGAAAAATCAGGGTTTACTCACCACAAGGAGTCCCTGTGCCACCAC